CCCTCGGACCTTGGGGAGGTGAATAATTAAAAAAAAAAAAAAGTAAATAAAAGTTAAAACTGAATTTACATGTTTATTTACTTAAATTAATTTTTAATCTTTGAAAAAACTAAAAAATAATTTTGGGGGGACTTAGGATAAGGGTTAGGGTTAGCATTTTGGGTTGAAATTTGAAATATATATATATATATATATATATATATATATATATATATATATATATATATATATATATATATATATATATATATGTATATATATATATATATATATATATATATATATATATATATATATATATATATATATATATATATATATATATATATATCTGTGTGTATATATAAGTTTTTTTGTTGTTAAATTATTTATTGATTTTTAAATAAAATTTTTTTAAATGAAACCATTAAAAATCTTACTTGCATATTTTTTAACATCTATACAATCTAAAGATAACTGCACATTTTTGTACATCTGAAAATACACCATCTGCAATGTGCTTAAAAAAAAGTGAAGCGAATATTAATAAAAAAAAATTTATCAAATAAATATGATAAAATTAAAAAACTAGAATAAGTAGTAGATTAAGTTAATCTACTACTTAATCTACCTAAAAATGATTATAACTTATGATTATAACTTAATCTACATAAAAACCAGGTAATGTATTACTTTTTTAAGTAAACTTATTTTTTTTATTACTTAATGTACATTAGTGAATGTACAGTTGCATCAAACTTTTTTATAATATTTTCTCAATAAATTAACTCTTAAAATATTTTCTCATTAAATTAACTCTTAACATTAAATTAAATGAAATTTTTTATAAATATGTCAAACTATACTACAACTAAAAATAATACAAAAAAAAAAATGAGAGAGCAACAAGTCCATAAATATTTATTTTTATTATTCTCAATTAAACTTATATTCATCGATAAACTTTAAATTTCATATAAACAATCTTTTTGCATTCAAAAATTATGGCCTTAAACAATGCCTACCTACAATGCATTAACAGGAACAATCCATATGCAACATTGTACTTTGAAATCCATGTACATTGAAATCCATGTGCAACATTGCACTGTTATTACTCTGATATTTTACAGCTGTTGATGGAATCAACATACATATATGATGGTATACAGCTGTTGATGGCTCTCTGAGAACTACCACATGGTTTGAGAAACCATACTAGCAGCAGACCTCAGAACTATAAAACTGAGTTTTAGAGCTGTACCATCATTAGGAGATAACAGGAAGAGTTGCATAGCTACTATCAAAAAGACACAAACAAAAATCTATGAGTAGAGTTAAGAAGATCCAGCATTTAAAGCTGGTCAACAGAATCATTCAAAGCTGGTCAACAGCATTCAAGCTGGTCAACAGCATTCAAAGCTGGTCAACAGAATCATTCTGCTTATCTCTAAAGTCTTTGCCTATGAGGCCTTCTATAAGAGTTCTACAAGTAGCAGTTAATATATGCCTAAGTATTTTTATCAAAACACTATCTCTAGCCTTTACTCAACCATGAGCCCTAAGTTTTTGTATCTATGATATTTTATATCTATATCTATATATATGATATTTTATACCTTATATATATGATATTTTATATCTATATCTATATATATGATATTTTATATCTATGAGCCCTTTGTTTCTCCTAGTCTTTGTTTAAAAAAAAAGCAATTCCTACAATGGTAACAAGGCATTGGGCAGGTAATACTGGGTTATATGATACAACTAGCAGGGTGATTGTGATGATTCTGAACCTAACCTGACCTGGAGTAGTTAAAAGAAACATTAGTGGGAATATTTTAGAAATGCATTAGGAAAAACATTAAATCTAAAAAAATTAAGGTAAACATATCTTTTATAGTTGGAGTCACTAGTTAGTTACTGAGCTCACACTGCATCAGAGATTTAAACAGAACATAAACATACTTAAAGTAACTAACAGGTGAGTAAACACTGTGCCAGAGGTTCAGACAGAACACAAACATACATACAGTAACTTATGGATGAATCAACATTACATACATTAACTAACTTGTGGGCAAACAAACACCACACCAGAGGTTTAGACAGACATATAGTAACTACGGGTGAGCTAACATCAGGTCAGAAATTCAGACAGGACGCAAACATACATACATAGCTAATTATAGGTAAGCTAACACAATAACTAAGACACCTCCAACTTAATTACCAGTACTTTGTTTTGTCAGTACTTTGTTGAGAACCTGGCCACAGCTCCTTGTATGTTTTAAGTTAAATAAGCATGTATCTATTATTTTCACTTCAAATAAAACATATTTTTTCAGTCCAAGTTAAAAATGCAACAAAATTAAAATACTATGTATTAAAAAATATTTTTAATTAAAAGTATAAAATTTAAGTGTAATGGTTAAGGAATAAATCTGTCCTTATAAAAAGCTAAAAGTGTCAATATGATATACACTATAGTGATTATATAACTACTAAAAAATTATATTATAGATATATATACATACCAACAAGTTTTCTTGACTAATGATTATATAACTACTAAAAGATTATATCATAGATATATATACATACCAACAAGTTTTCTTGACTAGACAGTCTAGCAACAAAAGAAAATGACTAAAACATTCTTTTTTCCAGCTAGAACTAAAAAAAAGTATTTGTTGCTTAAAATCTTTTTTTAAGAAAAACAGCAATCAAAGTATTGAACAAAATATTCTTACTTCATTGATCCTAAACTTTCATTGCTCAAAGCAATCACTAAATTTACAATGATGTTAGCAAAACCATTTTCCAATGCTAATAATGATAATTTCTCTTGTTCTTCTAATATCTTTAAAAGTAATTGATACATACTGAAATAATATGTGAAGGCAAAAGTACCTACATCAACTAAAGATTTGAGTCTGATAATATCATTAGTAGTAGTGGTACCAATATATAGTTGCACCAGCAAGCAGTAATGTTAATAGTTAGTACCAACAGTAGAAAGTAATTTTAGTCAACAATATATTTAGTAGATAAAAAATATGCTTTGAATACTAAAAATTTAAAATTAAAATAAACTCACTTTGACAAAAAAACTGACAAGCATGGCAAATCCTGTAGGTTTCTGGACACAACCTTGCAAAAGAACCATACAAGGTACAATCATTGTTCTTCTTGAATCTTCAACAGTTTGATTTAAACTTAAAGTGATTATTATAATTTAATTTTTTTTATATTTAAAATATTATATTACTGTAAAAAAAAAAAAAATTCTTTCCAAAAATTAGATTAAAACTTATAAATATATTAGATTGAAAAGAAATTACTTACTGCAGCCAATCAATTACTGCAATTAATCACTTAATACTTTTCACTTCAATGATTCACTGAACCTGATTATTTACTTTATCTAAGCTGTCACTTTAACTAATCACTGCATTTATTAATCACCTTTTTCATTTATTAATCACTTATTTTATTTATTAATCACTTTTTTCATTCATTAAACACTTTTTTCATTAATTAAATACTTTTTTCATTAATTTACCACTTTTTTTATTCATTAATCACTTTTTTTATTCATTAATCACTTTTTTCATAATAAAATTCAATGCACCATCACTCACTAAATTTAACAACCCCATTAAATCCATCTCAAACTGCTGTAACAAATTGTTCTATTATATTACACTTCTTTGTCTAAACATGTTATTATATCATCACCATATATCACTGTCTTTACATCACTCTTTATTGTCAAACCACTTACTATATAAAACCCATCGAATCAAATTTTTGAATCCATCAAATGGATCTTTATTTCAAAAAACACATCACTTTTCTAAATAATGCATTGCATTTACATTTGTTAGCTATGCATTTTTATTTGCAAGCAACATAATTCTTTTACTAAAAAATATTTTACTCTTACATAAAATGTATCAAATTTGATGCAAAAAAAGATGCAAGAATTATCTTTTGCAAATTTTTTGGAAAATTTGATCATTTAAAAAAAGATTTAACAGTTAATTCACACCATTCATTTGTTAATAGTTAATTCACACCATTTATTTGCTATTAGTTAATTCACATTATTCGTTTGTTAATAGTTAATTCACACCATTCTTTTGTTAATAGTTAATTCACACCATTTATTTGCTATTAGTTAATTCACATTATTCGTTTGTTAATAGTTAATTCACACCATTCTTTTGTTAATAGTTAATTCACACCATTTGTTTGCTAATAGCTAACTCACACCATTCATTTGTTAATAGTTAATTCACACCATTCGTTTATTAATAGTTAATTCACACTATTCGTTTGTTAATAGTTATTTCACACTATTTGTTTGTTATTAGTTAATTCAGACCATTTGTTTGTTAATAGTAAAAAATTAATTAGTTAATTCGGCAGTGATCAAATATTTTTAAGAGACTTTTTGAATTGTGACAGAATTTTTTTTTGCATCTACATAGCCATTGTGGTCAAAGGAAAATTACTAAAAGCTCAAATAATAACATTTTGTTTATTTCCTGTTGAAAAAATACTAAGTGTTATGTAATTTTGATACAATCATTAAAAAATTTTTAAACATATAACTTGAGTTAAAAACCTTACCAAAAAAACTTACCTATTTTCTTTTGTTAAATCAGGCATATTTTGCAGAACCTTTAAGCATATTTCAACAATTTTCACAGTAACTTCATGCTGATGAAGCTTAAAAAAACAAACTTATATACAAGCTTATTATTACATAAAGTTATAAAAAATTATTGCAATAGAAATCAACAGTAATATGTTAGCCATGGTTACCAACAGCAATATGTTAAGCTGTGTTCAAACTAAAAAAAGATGTATAATTAATAAAACATTAATAAAATGTTATAATTAACAAAAGTTTATATTGTTTAATGGGAAAGATTTTAAGTGCCTCCATCATTAGTCGCAACAAAAAAAATGAACCAAAAAATAAAATTAACTACTGTCAGAACCAAGAAGAACTAGTCACTAAAACAAGAATGAGTCAAGAATCAGAAGAAAAAACTAGAAGCCAAACAAAAGAAGAATCGGCAGCCAAAACAAAAAAATGAGTTATAAATAACTAATAAATACAAAAAATAAATAAACAAATTGCTTATTACAAAGGATTAAGACAAGAATAACTGTTTACTACAAAAGAAAGAAGTCAAAAATGACAAGTTTATTCAAGAAAATAAGTCAAGAGTAACTAGCCAGCACTAGAGAATAAGTCAAGAACGACTTGCAAACCTAATAGAATGGATCAAGAATGATTGACTATTGCAATATGGTTATATATCTACAACATGGTTTTAGAATATAGATTGTTGGGTCTGGTGTAGAATATAGCATAAATATTTTAGCCTGGATTATTACTATTCTTTTACAGTGTAAAGCTTTTAAAAATTAAAATAATTTTTTTAAATAATTACTGCACCAGTTTTTTTTTTAACCAATGACCTTTGAAATACATTAAATAGAAGAAAAAAAAGGTAAAGCAATTCAGAATGATTTATCAAAAAACTTACTATGTTTGCCAACAAATGAAACCCCATAAGTTTGTTGAAACTAGAATAGCATTCTTTGCCTCCACGCTCCAAATATATTAACAAATTCTAAAACCCAAAAATAAATTTCTCTCTCTTTATATACATATATATATATATATATATATATATATATATATATATATATATATATATATATATATATATATATTACATTGCAATTAAAGAAAAAAAAGTTTTTAGAAAAAATAAATTTTTAAACACAAAATTTATCTCTTCCATTGTTGAAATGCCAATATATATATATATATATATATATATATATATATATATATATATATATATATATATATATATATATATATATATATATATATATATATATATATATATATATATATATATATATATCCAAAGTTTCTCTTTAGCACAATATGTGTAAATATTCTAATAAATAAGACAATTTTTTTAATTTTTGTTAAAATTATTTATTTTATAAATACATGCTTCGATTATATCACAGCCATCATCAGTTAAAATATATTAAAATGCTTAAATCAATTTATTAAAATTAAGTTGAACTAATAGAGACCTTGTAATAAAAAATACATTAAAAATGCAATTAAAATGTAACAAATGTTTTAAAAAAGATAAAAGAACCAGTATTGTTAAAAGGAACTAGATTGAAATTGTCATTTTTACATGGCTCATTTGTTTATTAATTTAGTTAGTTTTTCCCATTCTATGTACATGTTTTCTTTGAGTTTAATATAAATTTGTTGGAGGCCCAATCCAAGATCGAAAAACTAGCATGATTAAAACTATTAAAACAGCTTTCATTTGAATGAATATGTTTATAAATGTGTGATATCAATATTTTAAACTTCCTTATATTGGAAATTATATATATATATATATATATATATATATATATATATATATATATATATATATATATATATATATATATATATATATATATATAGCAAACAGTTCAGGAGTCTGGAGTCATAGCATGCCATGACATGAGCAATCAGCTGACAGGTGAAAGCACACAGGCAGAATTTCGTTGACAAGTGCCATTTTGCAACAGACAAAACAAGTGCAACTATTTTGGTTTGTTTCATTTTCTTAAGTCTGGTCCGTGTCAACGTCACGGAAGTTTTTTAATAATTAAAGGAAGTACCCAGAAGTTTCCAGAAGCATGCAGAAGCTTCCAGAAGTTTCTAGAAGAAGCATCTGGAAGCATTCAGAAGTATCCAGAAACACTCAGAAGCTTCCAGACGCATCCAGAAGCTTCCAGAAGCATCAAAAAGAAGCATCTAGAATCTTCCAGAACAGGTTCACACAGGTTCATTTTACTATACAAGAGACATGTAAACCGACATGTAATTCAGTTAGTATATGGAAGTCAATCAGTCAGTATTATCAAGACAGTTTATTGAAGTGAGTTTTATCAAAGTGTTTTATCGAAGAACATCAATACATGTAGTGAAATATAACAAGTGTTTCATTACATCAATACAGTCTACATCCAACCAATACATTGTGTTCCACAGAGCATTATTGTATCATCACAAGGTAAATGTAACACGGTAAGCCTTGAGAAACGTGATTATTTATTTTTATTATTTTTATGACTTCAAGTGCAAAAATGGCTCCCGACAGTCTTGGATTGGAACTAAGAAAGAAAATTATTGGCGATTACATGGGTGGAACACAAATCACAAAAATATCACAAAAACAAAAACATCAAAAAAAACACAAACATCACAAAAAAACAAATATCACAAAAAAGTATTTGTGATAAATATCGTGTGAAAAATGGACCGTATCAAGACTATGTTCCAAATATCGTTCTACGGGGAAGTTGGCAGCAAAGGTGGAAGACCGCGTTCCACCACTTCTAGAGAGGATTCTATGATCGTTAGATCCGTCAAGAAGGATCCCTGGATATCATCAGTCGAGATAC